AAATATACACGAGAACAACAAACTTTTATAAGCTACACTAATTTATTCATCACTATCATAATCATACACTTTATAGGTGTCACATAACATATATACAAAATCTAGTAATTTATAAACATTATCGCTATAAATTTTATGATTATTATTTTCACCCCTAACTAAATCAAAGTAAAATGTTGCGTCCCCAAGGATATTATCGGTGGACTTAAAAAGCATTTCACAGCCAAATCGTTGCAGGATTTTTTCATAGCTTTCGTTGATTATCTGATGCCATTTCTGAAACAATATTGGGAATTGCTCACACCAATACTCTTGTAGTACCAAACTCTTTGTATATAAAATACCCTGTTGATTTATATCCATGCGTATCAATAACCAACACCAATACGCCACAATATTATTGTATATATCCTTTTGTTCGTCCACTGTAGTACATGAAAAAGGTTTCTCTATTTTCACATCTTTCGTTTTCGTCCAATCACACATTTTTGTTTTTGTCTATATAAATCTATGTCCGATCCTTCAACTTTCATAACCGTTATAAATAGTCCGTCAAATTCCGCCACTTGAACCGTATTACAAACGGTAAAATAATGTCAAAACGGTTGAATATACGAGTCATGACAAAAACCAGTTAAAAAACAAGATGAATAATCTTGATTACCAATAACACACATACATGCTATATTTCCCACTCCTCGTATGTTATTTCGAACTGACGAACTAATGCACATTAATTGTACATTATAAAAAGTAACCGTAACAAACATGACCGTATATGGCAATGGTATTTTATTACCCCGGAGTTATATATTTACATGTGAAGTTTTAAAAAATTAAAATCAAACAATGGCTTTTGTAAATCATGATGCAGCTATTGAACCATTTAATAATACCGATTGCCAAACAACTTTGAAAAATGGTACAAAATGTGAACAACAACACTGTCGACACTTTGTCGCTTGTGAATTTGGCGATGATGAAAAGTCCTTCAAGCAACGTTATTGTCAAGATTGTCGATATTTGTTATATGTTTCGTTGCGTCGCAAGCCCGAAGAAATGAAAAATGAAAAAAAAGAAAAAGCCAAGCAAACAGGTAAAGATTATTTTGTAGCCACAGGTTTCGCAGACGGTGATCTATGGCAATATGAACATGTAAACAGTGGAAAAGTATTTTGGAAACGTGTCAGCCCTGATACTGAAGAAATTATTCAAGCGTGCGGTGATCAATGGCTAAATGAAGAAAAGAAAAAAATGGCGGATGAAGAAAAAAGCGTCAAAAATACTCACCAAACAAAACTTGAACAATTTTTTAAATAAATCATCGTCATCGTCGTCGAGGACATAACTTTCTCTTAAATCTTTTACTAGCTACACTTTTTATACGATGATACAAATAAATATTTATGCCCGTAGTCGACTCTAAGGCATGACGCAAATCTTCAAATTTTCTTGCATTTTCAATATTTGTTCTCAAAAATAATGGCGTCGAACTACAACTTATCATTTGGGGCATCATATACCCTTCGGTGGGTACATCAACTAAATCTGTTATACAACGTTCAATTTGCGACATTAATAACTTATATAACATTTGATCACGACCAATATGGTCCGGAATTACACCTTCATCAATCAAATCCTCAATGAGTGTTTTCAATTTCCATCCGTCGTTGCAATTGTCAAATTGATCAAATACCCAATCTTTTACGATTCTCTCAAAAACTTCGGCCATCCTTTCGCGAACGGTATGAAACATTGAACGTGAAACTCACCTCAATTCCCCTTTAATTCTTCCTCAACAAATTCATAGATTTTTTCATAAAACGAGTCCGCACCATTTTCTGTATAGTCCACATATAATTTATATAACATTATCATTTTTTCAGGTTTTAGATAATCCTTGTCTGACACGCTTTCCACTAAATTATTAAATAGATAGAAAACAGCCAAATTGTCTACAATATCCGTCCCATACCAAAACCCTTCGTCGTCCATTATTTCGGTACCTTTTTTTAACCATATCTCCTCACATAAAAATTCATCTTTATTTTTTTTATGTAATTGTTTTTGTATAATATACATCATAACATGATGAAGCAAATCCAACTGAAGCTCTTTATCGTTTTCACCGCGCCAAGGTCGGGGTAAATAATCATAGTCATTCTCAAAAATTATCTTCTCGATGCACCTAAAATTTTCACACATTGATTATGACGATTGACGTGTACTAACTTCGTCTCCAGGACAATATTCTGTTTTATCCTGAAAACAAAGTTAGCACATGCAATGGCCGGTTGGATCTTATGTGATGACACGCTATACAAATATAATAAAACAGTGGGGCTATTGGAAACCCCATCGGGAAAATTTAAAATATATCTTCATACTACACATCGCAATGAAACGAACATACGCGAACATTATATATATCTTCAATGGCATTTAAACTACTGGGGTTATTGGCTCTACGCATCATCACAATCATTGTGAAACACGTATGTGCGCTTTCATATATGAATTTTATCACTACATCGAAACTTTAAAACCGGCACGATTTACAGATGTAAAATGGCAAATTTATAAACATTTCGCATCAAAAGGATACCGATTAAATAAATCAATCTTTAAAATAGCAATTTGTATACTTTGTCAACGTACATATCTTCAACCATGACTAGACTACCATATTACAAGTTATCTATGCTGTTAACAGGTATGTGGAAATATTTTCTCATCAACGTTGTCGATGAATTCCTGTATTCTATATATGAGTAAATCGTCAACTTGTTGAAAATATTATTTCATGAATCTCTTACAACTTGAAAAGAAATAAAAAAATTCGCTTTTTAACAGTTCTGACAAAAGCAAATTCATTCAATAATTTGCTTTCACAGAACTGAGTAAAAGAGAAGGAAAATAATTTTTTCTAAATGCCGTGCAAAAGGCTGAACTATTTGTTTATCATTAGTCTGCCCTCTGCTCGGCCGTCTACAAAAAATAATATCCAAAACAAGAGAAAGAAAAAGAAAAGAAGACTTTTATAACATTCATCCAAAGTCTGCAAATTTCATGTTTTACACTATGGGGTATACAGATCTTGGCTTAATTTATAAAAAAATGTGTGTACGTATTTGAAATATTTACATCTTAAGGTGAGAATCGAACTCACTTTAACTTAGGACTACTAGCCGCTTCTCCCTAACCGGCTATCAGTTAAGTTTCTGAGAATTGGCATCCTAATGCGTTACCATTCCGCCACAATAGATGCTTGTACGGCAAACACGCACGCACATAATATTAACTCTTTATTTTGGTATTTATACACGTTTCACTTCTTGCACACGATTATTACGGTATTCTTATATACACGCATGCGTATTTATTTTAGAAATGCTACCCGTCCTTAATGTACCCAGTCTATCAACGGATGCCCCAGTCATCGTGTGGTTAAACAGTCGTCTAGTAAAGATCATTCCCGTATATATGAATCAAAACAAGGAAGAATATTATGATTTCTGTGATATATGTGGTGCTCAACCGCACGGAATTGAAAAATGCAATGATGCTACACATCGTCGTGAAGAAATAAAAAACTCTAAACTCTTTTCTGCTGAAGAAAAAAATTGTCTCAGCTTGTAATATTTAAATAATACATTTTTTTTTAAAACCAACTTCCGTCTATTTATCTATATAAACACTCGCACACACACACACACACAATTCCTAATTCGAAACAGCAAGGAAGACACACACACTAATATTAAAACTATAATTTTTTAAACCTACGTTTTTTAGTAGGATTCTTTTTAACTTAAACAACAATTACAACAAGGCTGAATTTAATTTAACTTGTTGTAATCGTCGTTTTAGTACAAAAGGTTTGCACCCCTTAAATTCTCCTTATAACTATGAGGAGAATACCGTGGACAAAACGAACAGTCGAAGGTTCAGCAATTCAACGCGGTGGATTTTTTAAAAGTTTCTCAGATGCAGTTTTGGGCGGGACTGGTGTCACTACGGTTAAAAAAAAAGAAAAAAAAACCCACCGAAACAAAAGGGAGGTTTGTTGATCAAAAAGGCTGGTAAAAAATGGAACAAGCAATGGGGTGGTCGTGGAACATTATATTACATGAGACGAATGGCAAAAATGCAAAAAGGTGGTTTTTTATCGGGGGTAATTGATCACTTCGTGGAGAAAAAAAGGATAAAAGGCACAAATAAAACCAAAAACGCAAACCTATGGTCGAGTAAACAGTGGTAAAAAATATTTTTCATGATTTTATTGTTAGGGTTATTGTGTCTTTAATTCGCAACAAACCTAACAATAAAAAACGTGTATAATATATGAACAAAACTGGAGAATTAAATTTGTACTTTATTAATTTATAAATAAAATTACAAGTGTTTTATTTATTGTCCATTTGACTGTCTTTATTTTGCGCTATATCTAAATAACCACGCTGCATCTCATCACGTTCTTTTAACCCGTCCATCCATGCTTTTTTGAAAAAAACTGCCGAATTGGTAAAATCAAAATCTTCATCATCATACCACTCGTCGTCCGAATTATATGACAACGTACCACTTTCCCCTTCAACAATTCTCTTTGCCTCTTCCATTTTGGCTTCTTCTAGAAGGATTAAATGTGTCATAAACAAGATAAGTTCATTTAATGGTGTTAAAAAATTTTAACATGCCCTGTAACATAAATCAAAATTCCCTGACAGTTCTCCCTTTTAATCACCTAGATGATTGTTCTTTTAATATTGCATTCTATGAAATGGCTCATGGTCCACTGCACTTTGATGCGGACCGCCTCGATACCTTATTATTCAATCCAATTGACGAATCTCATTTAGATCACCTAACGCAGAATCTAGATCCGAATTTTAATTTTTCTGCGCTTTCTCCTACCAGCAGTTATATGGTTCAGGACGAGGTCAACGCAATCCTTGAATCAAAACAAGAAAATGCTAGCTTTTCGCTCCTGCATGTAAATGCTCGTAGTTTGCTCAGTAGTTTTGATGATCTAAAATCTCTTGCAGCAAATACTCGCCAATCTTTCACTGCAATAGGTATCTCTGAAACCTGGTTGAATGATACTACATCAGACAGTTAATCTCCCTGGATATAACTTTTTGTCCTGTCATCGAACTGCAAGGTGCGGCGGTGGGGTGGGTTTGTACTTGCGGAATGATCTTGAATACCGAATATGCTCGGAGTGTAACTTTTCAGATCCAAATATGATTGAGTCGTTGTTTGTTGAAAAATTCGTACCAAATAGCAAGAACATTGTAGTTGGTGTAGTTTATCGATCACCAAACCAAAATTTATCTTTATTTTTGGATAAGTTTAATGAAATTCTTTCTACCATTTCAAAAAACAACAAGCACTGTTACATAATGGGAGATTATAACATAGATATGTACTGCTTAAACGTGCATTCCGCAACTAATGAATTTGTCGAAAATCTGTTTTTCCAATATGTACTTGCCTTCAATAAGTATGCCGACGCGCATCACAGCACATTCGGCAACGCTTATTGACAATATTTTTACCAACCATTTGACACAAAATTTATTCAGTGGAATTATTATTAATGACCTGTCAGATCATTTACCGGTCTTTGTTTATGTCTTTACAGAAACTCCTCCCCCTCGCAAAAGCGCTGAAAAGACCATATTTAGGGACTTTAGCGATAGCAATATTAGCAAATTTCGTTCACATCTTACTAATGTCAATTGGGAAAATCTCCCCAATCAAGACGCAGACAGTGCTTTCGATGCTTTTCAGTATGAATTTTCTAGATTATATGATCTTAGCTTTCCTTCTAAATCAGTCAGAGCAAAAAACTCGAACAAACCATTAACACCTTGGATGACAAGAGGGCTATTAACCTGTGTTAGGAAAAAGAATAAACTCTATAAAAAGTTCGTTATTTCACAAAGTCCTGTCAAAGAAAGACAATACAAGAAATACAAGAACAAGCTTACACATTTGATTAAGATTGCTAAGAAAAAATATTATGAGAATAAATTTGAAACTGCAAAAAACGATCACAAAACAACTTGGAAGCTAATAAACGAAGTGATTAATAAACGTAGAACAAAAACCTCACTGCCTTCCTCATTTATATCAAATAACACCCTTCTCTCTGATCCTAAAGACATTGCTAACAGGTTTTGCAAATATTTCGCTAACATTGGCCCTGATCTTGCAAGTAAGATTCCTGAGACTTCAAACTCTTTTCTTTCTTTCCTAAATTCAAATAGCGAAGAATCTATTTCACTTCATCCAACAAATGTATTTGAGCTTTTAGAAATCTGTAACTCTTTTAAAACAGCTAAAGCTCCTGGTTATGATAATCTATCCATGTATGTAATCAAAAAATCTATTGACCTAATAGTACAACCTCTTGTTAATATTATAAATCTCTCTTTATCCAAAGGGGTCTTTCCAAGTAAACTAAAGATCGCTAAAATTATACCAATTTTTAAAACTGGAAATCAAAGTTTCTTTACAAACTATAGACCTATATCACTCCTGCCAAACTTTTCAAAGTTATTTGAAAAAGTTATGCAAATCAGGTTAACATCATTCATTGAGCAATGTGAAATTTTGTATAGATTTCAGTTTGGTTTTCGCAGTAACCACTCTACTATGCATTCACTTGTTTCTCTAATAAATAACGTTGCCACGGCCATTGATCAGAACCAGATAGCTGCTGGAGTGTTCATTGATCTTTCAAAGGCTTTTGATACTTTAGATCATGAAATATTATTTACTAAATTACAACATTATGGTATAAGAGGCGTTGCACTCCAATGGATCAAGAGCTATTTCTGCAATCATGAACAATTTGTTCAATATAATGAAACCTGTTCTTCCATGGAAAAATTAAAATGTGGAGTTCCGCAAGGTTCTATTTTAGGCCCATTATTTTTTATTTTATATATCAATGATCTACCGAATGCATTAGAACTGTCAAAATCTTATCTTTTTGCTGATGACACTAGTATATATTATTCAAATTCGGATATCAAGCAACTTGAATTTGTTTTGAACAGTGAACTTCGAAAGCTAGATATCTGGATGAAGTCAAATAAATTGTCTGTGAACATCAGTAAAACAAACTATATCATTTTTCGGCCGAGACAAAAGAAAATTAATTTAAATCTAGTTATCCAATATAACAATCAAATGATCACCCAAAAACAATACATAAAATTTTTAGGAGTATATATAGACGAACATTTGTCATGGAAGGAACATATTAATTATATTTGCAATAAAATCGCCAAGTCTGTTGGAATTATTTACCGATCACGATATCTACTGTCATCCGCAACAAGATTATCCTTGTACTACACACTTATATATCCCTATCTTACTTATTGTAATATTGTATGGTCTTCCACTTATGTAACCAACCTCAATAGAATTCTCCTTTTACAAAAACGAGCTGTACGTATTCTTACAAATTCCAAATACCGTGCACACTCTGATCCACTTTTTAAACAACTCAAAATATTGGATATATTTAAGCTAAATACATTTCACATCGGCAAGTTTATGTTTTTATATCATCATTGCATTTTGCCAACATGCTTTGATAATCTGTTTATAATAAACAATCAAATACATGGTTATAACACCAGATCTGCCGGTAACTATAGATCTCATGCTTGTCGAACTAATATTAAGCAGTTCACCATCTTATACTCAGGACCGAATATTTGGAATTCTTTACCTACAAATATAACTGCGATAAACACAATCTCATCTTTCAAGATGCAACTTCGTAATTTTCTGCTTAACGAATAAGGAACAGCTAACTCTGATATGCTACGACCATGTTTATCGAATATTCAGTAACAATATATAAAATTATTGGAAAATCTATTATATATTTTCGTAAATTTTCTCTCTTATTATAAACTTCATTATGTTTCAATTTCATTATATGTGTCTGTAACTTAATTTCAATTTCATATTATATATGTCTGTAACCCTAAATTATACCGATTAATTAAATATTTAACTTTGAATTTTTGAGATGAGATGGCCTCTTTACACAAGCTCTAAGCTTCTTGAGGTCTCCTTGCCGACTTTATTTTATTAATATCTTGTAAATAGCTAACAGTCTTTCTTTCTTTTTTTTTTTTTTTGGCAAATAAACCAATAATAAAATCTTTGACTTTTTCTCAATAATGCTCTTCCATAATCTTTCCTCTTTCATAATCTTTTTTTTCTGTTCGTCCACAGTCTTGACTGTATTTTTTTTCTCTTCGGGAATCTTAGCCATAACTTCGGCCATAACTTCAATTTCAGCCATAACAACACGGAATTAAACTGTATTGTGAAATACACATTTCCCCGCACGTTTATTTATCAAACAATGTGTCAACTTTAAATAACATTTTCCAGATTTCCGGTTATCATTCACACCACGAGCACACGTGCGGCCGCACGTTTTATTTATCAAACCCCAACAATGTGTCAACTTTAAATAACGTTTTCCAGACCACATTTCCGGTTATCATTCACACACACAATAAGCATATTCATTAGTAATTTCACACCACGAGCACATGTGCGGCTTATTTTTTGGCTCCTCATTTCTTTGCTCCTTAATTATTTCATCGATTTCAAGTATAATTTGACATAACACGCACGGACAATTACATTTACATTGTTGACCATCATTTTCCTCGTCACAAACACATTTACATTGGTCTTTGGTCCACAGGATTACATGATTATTTGTTGCCATTATGAATAATAATTTAAAACTGTTTTAAAACAGACAACAACACCGCCAGTGAAGCAATGCGTGAAGACGAAAAGCGAAGCTGGTTTATAAATACTTTTGTTGATTTTTAACGCAAACTAAAAAAGGAGATGAAGAACTGCAAAGTTTTCCTTGGCTGTGTGGATATGGTTTGGTCGCTGAAAACAAGAAAATCCCTCGTCCACATCTATATCTCGTAATTAAAAGAGACATGAAAATATCATTTGAACGTATACTTGAAGAAAAATTCAAGTGTAACAACGCTAAGGAACACTTCGAATTTCTTCAAGAACCCGAAAGAAAAGCAGTTATCAAATTTTTGTAAATAAAATAAAATAAAATAAAATGTGTGGAAAAATATCAATTTCACCCCATTATCCCCAGCGATCCCCCATGATCCCCACTTACCCCTTACTATCCCCACGCGATCCCCCAACCGGACGTGACGTCACCACTGTCAATCAATGGCACGTGACACCGGACACTTTAAAATCACCGCCAAATTCAAAATACATCACTTCGGTCAACCAGGGCTTCGGAGACACATCCGGTCCATGTGGCCAATAAAATAGACTATTGCGCAATGATTAAACTGGCTGAGCGATACAAACCCGACATTTGGGGGGACTGGCCATCATATCATTTTTACCCCCCGTCCGTGGAACAAGAAAAAATTCCCACACCCCCACTAAAAAATCGAGTACTTTGTCCCCACTACTAACAACTATCTGCATCCAGAACAAATAGGTCTTGTTCCAATGTTTTTGCAACCTTGATAATATTAACGAATAAAACAGAATATTTGACTGCTTAATATTTAGCATGAATATTAATGACCCCTGGCAAAATACAACAATATCCTAAAGTTTCCAAATGCTAAATTGTAACCAGTTCATGGGTAAAAATGTTTAATCAAAATTTCAAATTAAAATAAAACATGTTATTTGGCACATTCATTTTATATAGAGCGAACTAATTTTGTCAATGTTGCAAACCTTAAGTTACAATTAATGTATAGTACTAGATAATGAATTTGTACAAACTTTGTTTTTGAAGTATTCTTCATATGTATATGAAAATTATATTCTTATATTAACAAGATTTACAACATTGTGTATACATTTTGTTCACAAAGCGCCAGGATTGTTTGTATATTGATTAGTAAATGAAATACCATACAGTATGTGAGACAAGAATCTCCAAACCTTTCTTGTCCGATTTCGTATTTGTTTCACACTTGACAATCTTGTTTTGTTTTCGTTGGCCGTCGTTGGAAAAGCAAACATAGTTGGCACTGCTGATGGCTTCAGCGTTTTACGTTTCTTGAAACCAGGAATTACTTCAGCATTCGGTTCAAAACAATCAGGTGCAAAATTTTGCGCTGCAGACATATGTATTTGCATGCTCACAAGGGTTCTCTCGACATAAATTATGCAACCAAACACTTCTGAGCGGCCCATTTGGCAACCTATGATAACTTATATCTGTTTCTTTGGTCTTTCAACTGCCATTTGTGCACAAAGGCACAGTACAATGCGGCATTTTTTGTTATATAAACTTTTAATTCTGTAAATTTCACGTTATAGTATAGTGCGCCACTATTATTTTAAATTCCTGGACACAAGAAGCATGCAATGACGTCACAAATAAGGGCGCTGACCAAATTTGCGGCTGCACGTAAAGGAACAACATGGCGTTGAAATTTGCAAAATTCGCGAACTTTGATGAGTGATTTCTCCTTTACTAAAACGATTTGGACCAAGATACTTCAGGAACAATATATTGAAGGTATAGTCTTTTATTTAAACCCAACTTGTTTTTGGGACTGGAGTTCCCCTTTAATACAAGTTATACCTATCAACAACTGATTTAACAAGTTTGAAAAAATTACTATCTGGTGGGTATCGGCTATCCAAGCCTTCGTACAACTGGCCCCAGACAGCTTTACTTGTCAGTGATAGGTACTGCCAATTAATAAATTAAATGTACAACACAATAAATGAATGTATTTGAGCAGGGGTATTATCCAGTCTCGGTTGTGATTTCTCTGCACAACTTGTACAGTTGGTGTATCTGTCTTTTTATATATGATAGACATATTTTGGCATGCCTGTTTCAATGAGAATGTGAGGAGAGACACCATGAAAACAAAAGATGGGAAAAAGTACATGAAGGTGACCTACCCAAAGCACAAGTTGGGAGATGAAGTTGTGAGAGAAGTTTGAGTTCCCCAAACATATCGTAAGTTTGTCACTAAACTGTAAACATGCATAAACGTTGTGTAATTTTGTGAGAATGGTTAGTGGGGAATCTACAATTAAAACGTTTTCACAATTTGGGACAGAAAAATCTTGCAACAAGTCACATATCATTAGCACTGATAAAGATCCGGGCTTAACTTATGCCTTATGGATAGAAAGCTTTTCAGCAATAAATCTACATGGTGTTTCCACAAACAAAAATATTACATAAAAGCTTTATTTTTACTTACTCATTCTCACTATGGAAAGTTGTCTCACAATGCTTAGACTTTTTTCCACCTTTTCCTTGCCACAACAGGCCAGCATTCAATAAAACAGCTCTGTCCATCAATGGATCAAAGTCATCAATGTTGATGAATGCATTTTACCTCAACACCTTCGAAACTAAGTTTTGCCAGAACAATTCCTAACAACTTCTAAACTCACAACCACCAACCAAATGTTTTCTGTCACAATTGCCACACTTGCACCTAGAATATTATTAAAATTAGGAGATATATATCCACATCTAGTTCTTAAAGAATACGAGTTAAAGGTTGTACAATGTGTTAAAAACAGTTTTCATACCAGGAGCTCACAGGAATTATTTTCTTGTAACATTTCTGTAGTTCTTCACATGGAATCCTGTCTTCATCTTCGTATTCGTCACTTGACCTGCCATCAATTTCAGATGCAATAGGATCATTAACAGTGCCAAACATAAATTCAAAACAATTGTCATCTTTTATTTCTTTGCCTGATGCCGATTTTTCGAAGATTCACTATCACTCATGGCAAAAAATTATCGAAAATTTTGAATGTGTCAAATTCTAGCTTTGTTTGTTTATATAAAGCTTTATCACTTGATACCATGTTTCTAAATTGTGAGATCACATTCGAGCCCAAGCTTCCATTATATTTTCCCTCTAGATTGTCTAAATGAGTCATCCGCTGCACAAAAAAGCTACCAGTAGTCAATAGTCAATATGTTTATGCACTGCTAATGAGCATTATGCATGCATTGCTAATGACTATATAATGGTTATTTTACACAATGGTTGACAATTACACAGTTGAGAAATGAGTCAGTCCCAAACATTTTGACAAAATAACATCTTTATTTTCGGCAAGTTTTCCTTTCGGTAAACTGTCTGTTCGGCAAACTGTCCATTCGGCAAAATGTCCGTTCGGCAAGGTGTCTTTCGGCAAAGTGTCTTTCGGCAAAATGTCCGGGTGTCCAAGACCTTCTTGACTGCAAATATCCACACTTTCTTTTCTTCTTGCGGTGCTGAAAGATATACAAGAAATATTACTATCATACAAAAGATGCAACATTGCAATGTAAATTAATTTTTAATATGTGCTTATACATATAAATGTTTATAAATTTATATGCATGTTGCATGATTTTCATTATTCAATCAATACCATTTGTAAAAAAGAAAAATGCTAACTGTTTTTGTCTGTTGTCTGTTTTTGTCTGTTGCTCTTCGACTTCGGTCGTTGTTACTGTAGCATGATCATTTTGCTGGTGTAATTCATTTGGTTCTTGTGAAGCAATTTTTGCTATGCTGTCAAACATTTCTTGTGATAATAGTTTTGCTGGATATGGCATTGTGTCACCAATTTTTTTCAAAATATCAGTTAGAATAATACAATTTTGTTCCTTTTTATTCTTTGGATAAGGAACAGCACATCCCTGGAAAATGAATTTTAACTCTTTATGCATAAAGTGTTTAAATACTTCATGGCCCTTATATGCATGTGCCTTCATAGAATCCACCCTTTTCGAGGTTGACCTGCGGGGGATAACACATGTTGCGCAATGCTAATTTTTCGGACAAACAAACAATTAGCAACCATTGTGTTAACTAGTCTCTCCGATTATGAATAAAGAACAATATATTTTACCAAAAAGCTATAAAAGTGTACATCTTCGAATTATTATATATCAGTTTTTCTTGTTCGAAGCCTACCACCGTCGAGAGCATGCTCTCTCGACCCAGTCTTTTCTCTCGGCCGGAAACTGCGTTACTAATTAATTATGTCATAAATTAACAAAACTAAACAATAATATGCTTCTCAACATTCCTCCTCTCCACACTGAAGTATAATACAACAGTGTGAACAAACAATGTCCAACCTTAATTAAATGTCAAAATATTAACTGTCCGATATTACACGTCCAACGGAATTAGTTTGTGTATGGGCCTAATATATGTCTTTTGGCCACATTGTACTTTTGTGACTCTTGTATGTCCGTCCTTCCCGGGATAAACATCAATGATCCGTCCTAGCGGCCAATCTCCCCACGATAAACCTTGTTGCATGACCAAGACCACATCACCCACATTTAAATCTTTGACTATTTCCAACCACTTCGGTCTTACCGTCAACAATGGTAAACATTCCTTGAACCATCTCCGCCACACCAAAGAAACCAAATGCTGTACCTTTCTCCAACGCTGTCGAGGATGACATTCTTTACTAAGCTCTGATTCTGGCGTGAACTGTCCGCCCATTTGACCAAGCAAAAAATGGTTTGGGTCAAAGGAATTATGTCGTGTACGTCAGCAGATTGGTATGACAACGGTCTTGAATTCAACAATCCTTCAGCCTCAGTAAAGATTGTAATTAACTCTTCGTCGTTGACGTCGCTACTGCCCAACACTGAATAAATCGCCTTCTTGGCAGCTTTCACTAGGATCTCGTGTGCCCCACCAAAGTGTGGACCAGCTGGTGGGTTGAATAACCATCTCACTCCTTGCGCTGACGTTTTCCGTTTGATCCGTTCCTGATCCAGTTGACTCATTAGCTCCTTTAACTCGTTCACAGCGCTGACAAAATTGGTGCCATTGTCGGTGACGACTTCCTTCGGAACGCCTCTCCGACTAGTAAACCGCGCAAATGCATTTAGAAATGCATCAGTGACCAAGCTCCACGCCATTTCTAGGTGCACAGCCCGAACTGATAAGCATGTGAATACGCATAACCATCTTTTCTGTCGCTTACGTCTGCGTCCTTGGATGGTAACGAACGGCCCAGCGAAGTCGATACCACACTGATCGAATGCACGGTACGTGAAACATAATCTAACTTTCGGTAAAGGTGCCATTATTTGGATAGCTGGCTTGATGCGTCGTCTTTTGCAGTGGTTACATTGATTCTCCCATTCACGTATCTCCTCCCTCGCTGCAATGATCCAATATTTCTCGTTAATTTGACTTAGGATGAAATTCACTCCGGCGTTGTCCTTAACAATCAGCCTTGTGATCCAGTGTCTTCTCGGACGGATGGCGTACGTCGTACGGTAGCTGTTCTGCGAATTTAAGGCGTCCATCTGAGCAAATTAAACTGGCTTCATCAATGGTAGGATTTAACTTGACAAGCGGACTGGTTTTTGGCACCGGTTTGCCACTCTTGACGGTGTCGTAATCACCACGAAAACCTTCTTGTTGAGCCAAACGAATCGCTTCCTCTTCCGCTTCTTGGAGTTCATCAATTGTAAGCTCTGAGTCCGTTCTTCTTTGATCACCGTTTTGCATGTTGTAAAGTGCTCTTCTCACTCGAGCAAGCACTCTAATTTACCACGACCAACTTGAAAATCTCTTTGGATCAAGTCTCCATTCTTCGTCTTCTAACTTTCGGCTGTTATCTTCCTTCTCTTGTGCATTCGTTGCCAACACAACTCGATCGTTCCCACCTTGACTCGGGCTAATTCTGCTCTCCGGAAGCTTGGCTGGACGTTTCTCAAATTTTATTCTCGGCCATTGATCTTCACATGTTTTTATCCACTCTGGTCCTTCCCACCACAATGGATGTTTGGCTAGTTCCAACGGGCTTGTTCCTCTGGTACACAAATCAGCTGGATTTTCGTTTGTAGACACGTGCTGCCGTTGCGATGGATCGGAACCACTTTGTATCTCCCCGACCCGATTTGCCACAAAAGGACGAAAATCTTTGCCACGACCACGTATCCACCATAAAACGTCAATGCTATCCGAGTAGAAGATGACATCTTGCATTGGTAGGTGTAATACAGCGATTACGGACTGTGTTACCCGCAATCCTAGAATAGCACCCATTAGCTCCAATTTAGGTATTGTCACTGGGGTGAGTGGTGCCACCTTGGACTTTGATGTGATTAACTGGCAAGTCACTTCATTATCCTCATACTCGTGTCGAATATACACCGCACAACCATATGCTTCCTTCGAAGCATCGACGAAGGTGATAATTCTCGTTGAAACCACTGGCTTTGCCGCTCGAAGACATCTCGGAACCTGCACAACACTCAACTGCTCCAATTGGTCAAACCACTTTGCGATTCTGAGCGATTTCATCTTTGATTTCATCGTCCCACTCGTAGCCTTGTGCCCAAAGTTCTTGGAGCAAGATCTTAGCAACAACTATGAATGGGCTAACGAAGCCAAGGGGATCGAAGATTGTAGCGATCTTTCGCAAGATATTTCTCTTTGTAAGTTGCAGTCGCGATGCTTCGCATGTTGACATTTGGAATTCGTCATTCTTGCTATCCCAAGCAATTCCTAGGGTCTTGGTAGTTGGATTCTGACCATCATTAATGACAATTTCGCTCACTTGATCTTCTACCGGGATTTCTGCAAGGACTTCTGGTGAATTGGAAATCCATTTTCTATCCTCCATCTTTGCTTTGGCCCATAACTCTCTTAACTCATGGTACAACTTGATACCAGACTGTTCGTCTTCAACGCTGTCTATGGAATCATCCATATAAGTGGATTCCAGAACAGTCTCTGCTGCTAAAGGGTAAAGGTGTTGATTACGCTGAGCATTCTTTTGGGCTACGAATTGGGCTTCCATTGGTGGCGAGTTCTTTCCGAACACTACTCAACTAAATTCATACTCATCCGCTTCGCTGTCGGTGTCAAGGTTTCTCCACAACATGCGGAAGTATGGACGATCCTTCTCATCAATGCTTATTTGAAGATACATCTCCCGGATGTCGCAAACAAGGGGTATTGGGTTCCGCCGAAATCGTAGGAAGACATCAAAAAGATCTTTCTGCAGCTTCGGACCGGGGTGGATGACGTCATTCAGCGAGATTCCTTCACATTTCGTGGAACAGTCAAATACAGTTTGGACTTTAGTTGAGGACTTATCCATTCTTATGACCGGGAAATGGGGTAGATACCATAGCCCCGGGGCTTCTTTCTTATCAGGATCAACTTTCCGGAGATATCCTTTCTGTACATAAGCCTCAATGGTTTTCTGATATTCGTTAGCCACGATGGGATTCTTTCGCAGATTTCTTTTGGTGTAGACCAGGCGAGATTGTGCCATCTGACGGTTGTTCGGCAACTCTGGTCGATCACTTCGCCAAGGTACACCAACTTGGTATCTCTCATCCACTGTTTGCAACGAGCTCTCGACCTTTCCAAGGGCTAATTTCTCATCTTCGGTCATAACTTTTGCACAAACTTTGTCGGTACCAGTACTTTCGATTTGCCAGAAGTTACGCATTGTACGATCAAGGTTACAACACTCTGTCAATCTGTTCTCCGGATCTGCCATTTTGGTATGCAGTGTTCTCGCCAGATGGGATCTTGAATGGTGGTTGGTATCTTTAGCAGCAGACCCAATACATGTCCAACCGAGCGGGCCGAGACAAGCTACTGGCCCTCCCGAGGGCCCTTGGAAATCAACAATGGAGAAGTGCAGATCAGGGTTGTCCACACCAATCAGTAAATCAGCAAACCCATCTTTAGCTGGCGTAGCAAAATTGCATTGGGAAAGATGCGGCCAATTTGACTGATATTGATTCCAATCCACCACTTGATAGCTCCCTGTAACTGCTCTAGGACAGGTTTGAACATTTATGGTTTTAGTGAACTGACGATCATCACTCTCTAAATCGAAGGTTTCCACAGAATCGTTTAACACTCGTACTTGTACAGTTTGCCAAGTAGTTCTCAATCCAAGGAGGCCAGCAACTTCTTCATTCATGAAAGATTCATTTTAGGCGTCATCTAACACTGCATTCACTTTCACCTTTTTTCCATTAGCTTTTACCCAAACTGGAACTGTTCTCAATGAGGTTGCCTCTGGTTGCAATTTGGACCGGTTCGATGTCATAGTAAGATTTGTTAAACTCTCTGCCCCCTCCCGTGAAGGATCCGCCCTCTCGTCCAGAAGTACAGGACCTGGTTTCCTGCTTTGGGCGGTGTCATGAAGTAGTCAGTGATGAGTGAGCTGACATCCATCAACATCACATGGGCGAGTCTGTCTACAATCCTTTCCACGATGCTCATTGGATAAACAACGAAAACACAGATACTTTTCTTTTGCAACTTTCCACCGTTCTCTGACTCTTTTCTGTTTAAATTGGTTGCAATTCCATATCCCATGGTTACCCTGACCACAGAAAACACAGGGTGGCTTGGTTCTCTCTTCTCGTTTTTCTATACGGTTTTGAAAGCGGTTGTCCACTTCTTTTCCAGTAAAGTATGACCTTCGGCGACCTTCATCAGGTTTTCCTCTCGGGAGTCGTCGCTCGGATAACAGTTTCTCATCCAACCCATGAGCCATTTCTTTCGCTTCAATCTTGATTGCCACTTCTTCTTTTAACCAGTCACACAAACTAGTAACTGCAAGTTCTTTGTTATGAACGTTTAACCAACGACTGTAACACTCTAAATATCGATCATGTAACTTCCGTACGAGTTGACTGTGCAATGTTCCCTCTCCAAGCTGTGCTTGTCGGTTTTCTGCTTTCAGCTTCACAACCGCCACTCTCACTAAATCAGCAAACCTTTCAAAATTGTCCACATTATTATAACGCAGTGCTGGCATACTGTCTAACTCATCCATGTAAGCTCTTAGTTGCCGACGTTGCCCACCAAACTTTGTCTTAAGAATTTCTTTCGCTTCTGTGTATTCAGGTTCTGATACCCCTAGACCTCGAATTGCATCATGGGCTCGGCCGGTTAAACTTTGCTGTAATCTTGCCATTTTGAGATTGATGGGTTCATTTGAAGCATGTACTAAACTCAGAAACAGGCTCCAAAATTCTTCAAATTTGGCCTTGGTACCATCAAAAACAGGAACGCGCAAAGCTTTAAGGTGACAATTGCTGAATTACCCCCTTGCATTTGGGGTGAAATTGGGTAAGGAAGGGTCGTAGTCTGGGTGCCAGGTGGAATTGGGGGGGGGGGGTAACTAGGGTTCTGATAAAGAAGGGTCGTAGTCTGGGTACAAGGTGGAATTGGGATCTGGTAACTAGGGCTCTGATAAGGAAGGGTTGTAGTCTGGGTACCAGGTGGAATTGGGGTCTGGGAACTAGGGCTCTGATAAGGAAGGGTCGTAGTCTGGGTACCAGGTGGAATTGGAGTTTGGGAACTAGGGCTCTGATAAGGAAGGGTCGTAGTCTGGGTACCAGGTAGAATTGGGGCCTGGGAACTAGGGGTTGGGTCCTGGTGACTAGAGGTCTGTACTTCTGTTTGCAAATTGTTATTCGATTCGGTCGATAAATCATTTCCCCCTGTGAGCAAAACTGGTTCGGTGTCGACTGGGTTGTCTTTTTCTAATACTTGGGGTGAGGCAACTAACATCTTTTGTGCACTGTCTATAGTCTGCTGTATTTCTAGCTCTAAGTTATCTGATTCTTGCATAATTTCTTTTTGCAGTTTCATATCATTCATCTGTAAATACAAGCTACTCATTTCGTCCATTACAAGCTGTGCTTCCTCTAAAATTTCCTACAATTCACTTATGCAATTTTCAATTTGAGCAGTGTCTATATTTCCGTCCTTTACACTGCATAATTTTTGTAATTGATGTTTAAGCTTAGTTACCTTCGTTTTACGGGTTCTTTTCTCCCTTCTTAACTTCAACAGCATCTCTGCATGTTGTTTCGATGAATAGGACTGACTTTGTTGTTCGCTTTCGACCACATTATCACTATTGATACCGGTAATATTGTTCTCAGCACTCATATCAACTTCCATTTCATCATTTTCTTCGGTTGCCATACTAAATATCTGCTATAAAAAAACGGTTCTTTCGGTTGCCACGTCCTGGCAGGATCGCCAAATGTTAACTAGTCTCTCCGATTATGAGTAAAGAACAATATATTTTATCAAAAAGCTATAAAAGTGTACATCTTCGAATGATTATCTATCAGTTTTTCTTGTTCGAAGCCTAGCGCCGTCGAGAGCATGCTCTCGACCCAGTCTTTTCTCTCGGCTGGAAACTGTGTTACTAATTAATTATGTCATAAATTAACAAAACTAAACAATAATATGCTTCTCAACACATTGTATATTTACACCGAGTTTTACACACATATATCACTACATTTTGCTGTTCTTTTAAAGATCATCATTTTCTCAACAGACGTAGCGATTTCGACTAATGCAGGTTTAAGATGGCCGGTAACTGTAACTCCTCTTGCTTGTAAATACTCTTTCAAGTCAGAGAGACACATTTCTTTAAAATTCTTGTGCTCCAAAGTATTATCCATGTTTATATTATCATAATCTTTCTTATTGTAGGCTTTATGCATATTTATGGAAATATGCATAAAGCCTACAATAAGAAAGATTATGATAATATAAACATGGATAATACTTTGGAGCACAAGAATTTTAAAGAAATGTGTCTCTCTGACTTGAAAGAGTATTTACAAGCAAGAGGAGTTACAGTTACCGGCCATCTTAAACCTGCATTAGTCGAAATCGCTACGTCTGTTGAGAAAATGATGATCCCAATCGATCCAAATTTTGAAAAGCCCACTGAACAGGATTTACAATTAATCGTTCATGGAATAGAGATCGATGATCCATAGTGTCGGACTCACAAGTACGTAAATGATTTCATCGAGTTGCCACCATTTGGTTTGTTCGACATATTTAACCACCTTATATACAACTCGACTGAATACGACAAACAAGGACTACAATCCTGGTCAAAAATTCTTGGCGCACTTAGTCCAAATAGCATAACCTTTACTTCATTTCTAATTACCATATAAATACTTGCCCATTTTATGCAAAATTTCATGTCCAAACACCCCCTATCCCCCTTATCAATGTTGTGTAACACCTTGGACGTATAACACACTACAGACAACGTTGAATGGGGGAAAGGGGGGTTGCTATGCTTGTTATTGAAGTGGGTGTCAAATTTCGCACAGTCAGTGTCAAATGCGCCAATATTTTTGACCAGGATTGTCTGAATATAAAAATGACACTAAAATTTATGTACATATATAATTTTGACTCAGAATGTACCGAAGCATTATTTACGTGTTTTACACGTATATTGGGAGGCGTGTTCTAGATGATTTCGTTGGGAGTTATTGAAAACCTAGCGCGTGCGTCGTAATGTTGATAACTATGACGTCATATGGGGGGGAGTTACTATGAATCATGATATTCCCGTACAGGTATATTAAGTGAGGCTGGCTAGAAAATAAAATTGAATTATATACATTTTGATAATTAGATTCATTTAAGGATGATTTACACAAGAAAAATAACAGAAAAGACAAGGGCTTTGGTACTTTATTATAGAAAGGAATCGGGAGATCGCAAGGGAGATCGCAAGAAAATGTCATATAAGCCCTTCATCAGTAGCAAGAATATAGAGGGAAGACCAACAACCAGCTGCGCTGAGATCTAAAAAGTCCAAAGGCAACAAGGTCGCCCAAGAAAAGTTGACGAGCGATCGTAATTGTCGCTATTTTGAAAGGATGGGAAAGGTGTGGTTCTCAAAGTTCCCTATGAGAAAATGAATGGCAATTTCTTTGCAGAGTTCATTGGAAAGCATTTTAATACTTGTTTTCCAAAGTGTGGACGTAAAAAAATTGTCGCCTGTTTCTCATGGATAATGACCAATCAGAAACGAGTAAAGCAGCGCGAAAAGCAATTGAAAAAATCGAGGCTGAATTTCACAAGATTCCGGCCAGATCGCCTGACCTGAAGCCAATTGAAAATGTCTTTCACTTGGTAAAGAAAAGTCTTGAGAATGAAGCAATTGCTAATAATATAACGTAAGAAACATTCCAAAACTTTTCAGCGCGGGTTTTAAAATCCTTGGAAAATCTGTCAACCGATGTAATTGATCGTACTAGTATTTCAAGCCTGTCAAGTAGAGTAGATGCTGTTCTTAAAGCAAGAGGAAATTGCATAAAATACTAGGAGTTCTATCTTTTACTGTTATATATAGTAATTCAAGGCAGAGTAAGGGCAGTATAGAGCATTTTCGCAAATAGGCAATGAGCTTGCTGTCAACAAGTAGATTAAATGCTAAGTACAATTTACACGTCTTCACAGCGTGACTCCAATGGTGCAGCAACGCAAAATTACAAACAGTGTTCCCTTGATATTTCCTAACTATTTGTCAAGGATGCAGAAATTTTTGTTTTCGGATACACAAAGTGGTTTGCATTACTTGAATAAATGCATTTATTCATTATAAAATCTTATTTAGGTCCATTATTGCTAAATTAAGAACAGTGCTCCACAAACTTAGCTTAAATTCCTTGACTATCTCACTGAATTCTTTAGGAAAATGGGGAGCACTGTTCAAAATCATGCAAGATATAGTTATAATTTATTTATTTCGAAGCGAATAAGTTGACCATTAAATATCATTATCAAAGATCGTTATATTATTTGCAAATATTAAAATTTCATAGATTTACAATGAATTTTTTGATGGAGCAATGTATGGACCTATGATTTTATGTTAAATACTTGCCCATTTTATGCAAAATTTCATGTCCAAACACCCCCTATCCCCGTTATCAATGTTGTGTAACACCTTGGACGTATAACACACTACAGACAACATTGAACGGGGGAAAGGGGGGGGGGTTGCTATGCTTGTTATTGAAGTGGGAGTCAAATTTCGCACAGTCAGTGTCAAGTGCGCCAATATGATTATCTTTTATTTGAAGAGGGGTATGTAGAATCTTTGTTGACTAAACCATTGCCAAGTGTAGGGGTGCATTTATATGTGGGTAAAGTTCGACCCAGCATGAAGAAAAGCAATGATGTAGGACGAAAGGCGTTTTACGACCTGTGGTTTATTTTAGAGGGCAAAGGTGCAAGTAGAGGCACGGTATTGAAAGCATGGTGTACATGTAAAGGAGGCAGAGATGGAGGAGGCTGTAAGCACATCTCAGCAGCCATGTATTCACTTGAAGACCTGTTGAACACCCACTCTACAGAAAGCGTAACCAGTGGGCCTTGCCAATGGGTGAAAAGACCAACATCATCAAGCAAACCTTGTGAAGTGAATGATTTGAAAATTGGGAAATGTAGTTCCCCGCCATTGAAGAAACAGACTAAGGCTAATTATAAACCTGCAGTAAAGCGAAAGCAAGTGGAAAAGAAACCTTCTAAAAGTGCAAGAATGTCACGATTACCTTCCTCTCCTAAAAAAAAGGGGGGAAAACAGAACATACTTTCTCAGAAAATATTGATATGGATGCCAGGAATGAGAATAACAGGTGCAACCCATCACCAAAATCCCTTGAGAAGTTTGTTTTAGCAATATCTGGAAAACATGTCGCTAAGCCACCAACTATACTTCATCTTTTAGGGAAGATGTATCTTCCTGAAATCCCTGAGTGCACCACAGATTGTAGCATTCCTGATAAAGGTACAGAAAAATTCAACTTAGATACAACTGGGAACACTGGTATTTATGAAAGAAAAGCTAATGCAATATAGCAGTAAAGAAGAGGTAATATCATTGTTTAAAAATTAAGGTGAACCAATGATAACATCGGAAGAAATTAGTCGTATAAACACTCTAACTATAAAACAGTGGAAATGCCAAGAGTGGTAGGTGCAAAAAGCAGGTATTATTTCTGCTTCGAAGGTAGCCTGCGTGGCAGGCGGTATTTCTACAGGCAGCGAAAAGTAGGGAGGCAAAGGAAATACCGTCTGCCGCAAAACTAGGGGTTTTTGAATTACCCGTCCACTGGTGAACGGGAAAAACGGATTGGTTAGTATTTTTATGTAGTTGTCAATCAACGGCTAAATTCGGTTAAATGTTAATCATTAACCAAATGTTTTGACGTTTTGAAACTCTGCGTTTTGAAATTAGTTCACGTCAAGTCAGACCAGAAATGGAATAACATAATAAAAGAAGCAAATAAAAAGATACAAGCTGAAAAATAACACTCTAACTAGTGTTATTGATAGAGATTCGAACAAGAATATTTAACAAAGAAGATACAGATCCGAAGGGGCCGAAGTTATGATCGGCGAAAGGTATGGGCTAGTCTATATTTTCGTTCAGATAATTACATGCGTATTAATTTGATAATATACGATCTCGCTTGACTTTCAAAGGCCATAAATCTTAATAATGTTGACATTTTACTAAAACTATCGATAGAAATTAGGAGATATTTCTTCACTGAATCGAACAGTGGGATTTCCATATAGGTCTATCATGTTCTGAACCAAAGATACTTGATAGATATTATATACGAACCTCCAAAGTATAAACAAGGGGCCGGTTGATGCAGTAACTATCAAATAACAGTTAAACTCTTATATAGCCGTTGAATATGTATAGTTGTAAACAAATAAAAACTATCGTTCTATAAGGTTCAATACTTTCAGTTTGGTTGTTGACTGATGATGAATCTATAGTATAGACTTGCATGCTTTGTATTTTGAACTTATTAAACCACCGTTGTAAGGCAGCTAAATGGCTAAACGTTTATATTAACACATAAAATAAATTCCTTGATTCTCATCACTAGACACAGTCTACACTTTGAAATGTCAAAGACAGTGGGAGATTTATTTTTTATATTTTATATTTATATAATTTATATATCAATAGATCATATCTCCACGAACAATGACAGAATGACTGAGTTTCTTTAAAATACAATGAAATTTCACTCAAAATTCTGTTTGTTTCAAATTGGAAGTTTAAAATGGCAATAAAAACTCTATATAAAATATGAAAAAATTAACTGTCTTGAATTATTTTGTCGGGCGGTACATTCATATTGTATAACGAAATATAAAACGTTTTCACGAGGATTTTAAAATTCAGTCGAGCGGTGATGAGAATCAAGGAATTTATTTTACGTTGGGCAGTTGGGACTTGGGAGCAGCTTGGGAGTGGCTAATTTTGAATATTTACTTAATTAATGCATCTATAAATAGCGTTGATGCTTCAGGGGCGGTAGTTAATTTACACCCAGTTTTGTGGCAGGCGGTATTTCCTAAGTACCGCCTGCCATGCAGGCTACTTCGAAGGCTAAAAGAGTAAATGACTCTCAAACTAGATTAAGCAAGCTTGTAAATGAAATGGCTAATCCCAGTGTTCCATCATGCATTCGTTCACTGCCTGACCAACCTCAAGACCCAGAAGTTCAGGGAAAGCAACACCATAAATTAAAGCTCGAGTCTAGAGGATTCATGATTTCCAAGGACAAACCCTTCCTTGGGGCAAGTGTTGATGACTTTCGTCATTGTGAATGTGAAAAGGGATGCCCCGTAGCTGTTGTAGAATACAAATGCCCCTGGAAGCACAGAGATATTACCCCTAAGGAAGCTTTCCTGACTCCTGAAGTAGGTGGGCAACAGAAAGACAATCATTTTACATTAAAGAGAAATTGTCGATATTACTTCCAAGTACAGTTACAGATGTTTGTGTGTTTGTGTGACTTTGTTATATGGACCAAGCTTGGCATATTTTCAGTTGAAATCCCATTTGACAAATTATTTATTTGGTCGGTTGTTGAAAGGCTTCAAGAGTTTTGGGTGAATCATGTTTTACCTTTCATGATGCCTCAGAATGGATTACAATGTAAGTATTTTATACAGTGGCGCCGTGGGACCCATGTTTTTTGGGGGGGGCCAAGGGCAGTACTTTTCTGACAAACTGAAAAATAGTTTCCGACAGGGACGTCGCAAAAAATTTTTTACCTGAATTTTTTTTGGCGACCTACCCCCCCCTCCCCCGTCGCCAAAAAAATTTCGGCCAGTGTACCATTTTAGGGGTCAAAATTTTTTTCTGGAGATCAAAATTTTTCGTGACAAAAAATTTTTCCGGACATCACCAATTATTTCCATTTTTCCAAAATTTTCCGAACAGACCAACGTCGGCCAACTTTGACAATTTCCGACAACATTGACAATTTTCTGTTACCCCGCTGATTTTATACATCTCCTATTTTATCACATACAAGTCTGTAGATTTTCTATGTACATGTAAGTGGATACTATAATCATTTACCTCCAGTATCCTGGATGTAGATTATTCAAACCAGGTAAAATACATATTGGGTCATTCCAGAAAACATCCATACCTCCCCCACAGAGGAGTTAACTCTCTACCCTCTTTGGATGTCCTAATACATTTACTATTATCAGAAACAATTTTTCCTCCCCTCCCCCTCCGGATGGCAGAAATTTCCTCCATGGGGGGAGTATGGATCTTTTCTGGAATGACTCATTATGTATACTGTGGATCTGTATTGAATAAAATAGAGAAAAATACAAAATAATACTGAAATTGTGTTACTTCAAATTTTCCAGCCAGTGTGCAGTTTTTTGGAATATAAACGGAATATTAAATGCGAATCTGAGTGTGCACTGTATGTATGGGATGACATGATAAATACAAGACTAAACTTTTACTTGTACTTTGAACAGGTGAGAAACTCCCAGATTTAAGTGCTGGCAGTACTATAAAAGTCCTGTTACACATGAAAATCTCGATAAGTATGATCAAGGGATCAAGGGATCAAGGTATCAAAGATGGCACTGGTATCTGTGATGATATCGTTGACCCCCTAAGACTAGTGTATCGGGCTGCAGCATCTACCAGGCGTGCATTGATGGTCTTCAAGCAAACACATTGCTAAATGACAACATTGTTAATTACCTGATAGGGTAAGTTTACATTTGTTTGAAGCAAAAGTTCCTGTTGAGTTATTTTAATAGGCCCATGCAAATGTACATACTTTTACACTAGTCATGATCCAGATTACTGTAAATTGTATTAGTTACAGTACATGTCCTGTCTAATGCCTGGCAAACTTGGCTATTGATGGGTTAAAAGTGTATACCTTTTATGAACATGTTCTTTAGAGAAACTCAATGCAATTTTCCTGTGGTGAGTACCTATTGGTACACTGTATTATGTGGTAAACAAGAAGAAAATATTAAGAAAACCAGGTATTGTATATATTATGCATGCATGGTCAACAGAACTACACATACACAATAGTTTGACCAGTATGCTGAGGCACTGGAAGATTGATAATTGGGGGCAGATATTCCTGTTCACAGACTGTAAAAACAATCGATTTTAAAATCTAAATCTCGATTTTAAAAGAAATTAATTGGGCAGAACAC